CACTGAAAGATTTAGGGAGGCAAAGGAAAAAGGACGGAAGGGAGGGAACCGCAGGCGGAGGAGAGGCTCCTGTGAGGGCTGCGGAGGGCTGATGGAGGCAGGAAAGAAAAGCATAGGAAAAGGTGGGTTCTCCCAAGCTGGTGAGCGAATATTACCTCAGAAGTTGATTGCAGCTGAAGAAATGCATACACACAGCTGCTGCATGCTTTAACCCATGAAGCACTCAAACTCCTTTTGCAAAATTTTTGCTGCTTTGTTCAGAGGAGCTGGTTCTGAGTTACTTTAATCAGCTGCTGTCTCAGGTTTATTGGAGTAAACTCAATACCACTACTAAATTCAGTTGTTTTAACTATAAAGTCAGAGGAGAACGATGCTAAAGCTCTTGGCTTCAGCCTACAAACAATAAAACTACATAGTTCATCCACAGAGGGAGAAGACAAAACCCAATTCAGTTACTGTGATGTGTTTTTTAAACTGTTTTAAGATTCAGAGCTAGAAATGCCTAACTTGATCCTCATTGGATCAAGTGAAAAAATCCACAACCGGCTGCCTGAATTCCCTACAGAAAGCAAGAAAGCAAGGTTTCCTAAGGAACCCTCAGGGCAGACTGGGAGCAAACATGGCAGCAGGCAGAAAGCTAACCCCTGTGGGCAGAGGAGCTCAGGGCCACACTAGTTTTTTTAGTAACTACTGCACACCCTGGGGCAAGACCCCAGTGTAACAATTCAACTGTTAGCACAGTCCCTGGCACCCCCCTGGCATGGGACAACCTGCCTTCTCCTAAACCATCCTACTCATTGCCCAGGAGGCAGCACAAGCCAGCAGCCATTTCCAGTGGGCATTCTGGATGCAGCAAACCTAATCTGGAGGACAGGAGAACGTAACGGTATAGACATGGCCAGACACTGCCCAGTCAGCCTCAGCCAACGTGCCCTGGCATGGCTGAGCTGACTAGTGTTGATGCTGCTCAGGATTCCTGCTTCACACATCTCTCTCCACTCCATGCAAATCTTCTCGGAAACCACTGGCAAAGTACACCTTTTTTCCATTGCAGAATTTTCAGCAGTATCATAAAGAATCCCCTAGCTGCGGATAAATAGCTCCTCCATCTTGTGGCTGTCTTCCATGCCTTTCCCTTCAGAGGATTAGCCTCTTTCAGATTCTTGGTTCTTTCATTCCTGAAGGCATTCCACTTGGAGAAACCCCTGCAATTGTGACTAGCCACACGGTAATATTCTGTAATTTACCAGGAAAATCCTTTAAAATACATCAGTGTTAAAAGATATTGCACCTTTAAAAACCCAGGTGTATTGTAAAAGCACCATGGTAGCCAACTGAGGGCTTAAATATATGTTTCTGCAAATGCTGAGACAGATGGATTTAGAGAGAGTGATAGAGAGGTATTGCATTCACTTTAAGGAAAGCAACAGAGACAAAGATAAGTCAATATGCCTAATACTGTCCCTACAATGTGGAGTAAAATACATATCTGATTTCCCACTTAGAAAGGAATCAAAACATTTTAACAAAGGGATATTCTAATGATGGTGGCTTACTAGAAAAAAATAAAAAGAAAAAAAGACATGCTGACTTTAAAAAAAATGGTTTGGTTACGAGAGCCTTGTGACTTACAAGTCGCTGTACACTTACTCTGCCAAGAAAAATGAAATAGAGCTAAAAATGTGCCACTGCTATAAAAGTGAGTACACTATATTCATTCCCTGCTGCACAGCTGATGTCAAAGGACCACCTCACTCAGTATTAGGACCTTTATATTCTGTCCAAAGCTGAAAAGATTTCTGCAAATGTCCACAAAAACTTGCACAGTAACTGGTGACAGTACAGTGGAATAACAATACTCTAAACCATCAAGAAAAGAGTAGGAGAAGAGGAGAAAGTACACTCCTCAAAAATATATTTCAAATTAATTTCAACACTGTACCCCACAAATGTAACCCATTTTTGAGCACGTTTTACTCTAGGAAGAACCAGGCCTAGCAGAAAAAGAAAAAAAAAAAAAGAAGGAGGGGGGATGTTAAAAGCTGAAAACTTCATCAGAAACATGTATTATGTTTTTTGAAATGTCCCTGATCTGGACAAGAAAAAAACCACAGTTTTTCTATTGTTAAGAATCCCTGACATGGCCCAAGATCACCCTGCTAACCCGAAAAAGGAAGCTTTTGGGCATGAGAATCATGTAGTGAAGAAACACAAAGTTTGGAGACCATCATGTATACTCACTAAAGCTGAGGAGCAAACTGCCAAGTGAGTCGCCCACCAGACATGAAAGAGCAACTCAGACACAGCCTTGAACGCAAGGGAGAGAATCAGCCCAGCTGGGATGTCTCCGCCAGGCAGAAGGAACCAGACCATTATGAGCTTCCACCTGGATGATCACCAGCAATACAAAACCAGAAAAAAGACCCTAGTTTAGCATTTTACCCTTAAGGCCAGTACATTTAACTGGATATCTGGTGGTTCAGCAGCACAGCAGCAGCGCTGGGCCAAATCCAAGTGAAAGCCTTCTGGCCCAGGAGGAAAAGTTGTTACCAAATGAAGCGTGCTGACAACATATGGAGGCCTGTGCTACTGGAGTAGTTTCATCCTCATCCAGAAAGAAAAAAACCTGTAAGATTATGCCAAACACATGATTCAATTTAGGTCAGAGCTCTGCTGCTCAAAGCACCCCGGCCACCGATACTGCTTGGAATGGACTGGCTTGTTTCAGTGCTGACTTTACAACCTTTCAAAGGTTTTTCACAGGGGAAAGGATCATGGATTTTTTTACTTTTTTTAACCTGAATTTATTATGCATTAGGGAGCAGTTTACTACTAAACATATCCCTCCAGTCTGCATCACTTCCTTTTTTATTCATCCCCATCCCACAGTAACTTGAAGCACATCTGAAGTACTAAAGCTGTGAGGCCTGTGAGCTCCCTCTTTAAAGCATGTAAGCACCCAAGATTTTAATGGGCATAGAAGACACCCTAAAATGGTGACCCAAGAAATGCCCATCCGCTGACAGCTGCCATTGGCGTCTTACCTAGACATCTACTACTAGACAGCATAAAACTGGGATACGATGCTTCTATCTGATCTGATCTCCATTGATGTGAACTGAAAAGATCTTCCATGGAAGCAGGGTGAGTTACAGGAGAATACAGACAATGTAAAACGATATTCAGGATTCTTGTTTCCACTTTCATGTCTCTGCCTCGACACTGTGCATGTGAGATTTGCAAAAATAATAATAAATACATATGGAGATTTTTTTTATAGAGAGCCAACCACTGGTTTAGGGTTAAAAACATCTGACTTCATAACATGTCATGCTGCAGCTCTGTACCAGGAAAGACCAGACTTCTTATATAAATGAAGATTTTCTGATTCAGTAAGAATTCTGTTCTCGAAAGGCATGGAAGCAATAAACTAAACGAGGATTAAATACCAGATCCTGTCATCCTTCAATGCATTAAAAGACCAAGACTTTCAAATGCTATGTCAAACTGTGCAGAGCAGAAAAGCAAACTTCTTGCTTATTTTGGCACAGCAAGTTCTTTACAGCTTCTACTTGTTGTAACTTGGAAAATACAACATTGCATTTGCTAACCCAATAGATCATTTTCCTATCCAAAAAAGGACAGCTTCTTTTGTAAACTTACCAACTAAGGACCATTTTGTGGGAAGTACTGCTTTATCTAACTTCTCATTGTAAATAGTTATTTAACTTTTTAAAACTCTTCTTCAACAAAAGAATAATTTTGATGCTTAGTAATGAAGCACATGCTTTGTCAAAAGAATAATATTTAAAGTTTTATGGTGGTATGTAAAGCATTAAATACTTCGAGTAAAAAGGATGCTATCTGGACATCAACAATTACATATTATTGTAAGGGCAGGATTTGGACCAAAGTGTAAATGGTGCTTCCAGTATTAATCATTGTAGTTGACGCTAAGTTGGGTCAACTAAGTGTGGGAGACTACAGTGTAGAGCCTGGAGTGAATGATCCCCTTGGAAGTGATTCAAGGTGATTGGGAAACATAAGAGAGGGCTCTGGCTTGTTACTATCAGTTACTGCCTATTGCTATGAAGAAGCATTTTGAAAGCACTGTCTGGGTCCAAGACAAAGAACATTCAGCAGTGGCTGGCGACTGTGGGTGGCTGGAACAATTCAGTTGAATCAGTCGGTGCTTACTGAAGATCAAGAACAGCTAAGCCTTTTCTACTTGGGCATCTAAAGCCTGAGACACCCTAAAAAAAGTAGTCACTACTCATGATCCCAGTTACTGAGAAACTAAATTTGCTTTCAGGCTTCAGTAGTTAGAAATTAGAAATGTTTTTGGGAATTAGGGAGAAATTCCATCTTGAAGTGAAGAAAATAACTGTCTGAAAATTATTGGACAGGTAAGCAAACCCAGATACTAACATCAGCAAGCTTTGATTCAATTATTGCTTCTCAGGCTGTTATTGCTTATGCCTTAGTGGCATTTAGCATGTGACACCTTCAGATAAGGGAAGAAGGAAAGAAAAGTCTATGTGTGAACAGCATGACTGAAACGTTGGATCTTTTGGTCTTTACACTGCTACAACTTTACCTCCTTGTAGACACAAGTGAGCTCAAAAACCGTTCCAGACCCTGTAAACACCAGTGTACTCCAGAACGACACATCCAATGGACCCTGGTGGCTTTACATTTTGTGGTGGGACCCTGCAGTGTCCGCTGAAGTGCCTACTGTAGCTAAGACTGTTATGAAGGCATTCACAATGTCCCTCTGTCACTTGGATTTCCTGAGGAATGCACTAAAGAGGCACCACAAAATCTCCTCCTTCTACTGAGACACCTCCTTCGTGAACTGCAGAGACCTCCTCCTCTGTGAAATTCAGTTGAGAGTGGTCAATGTTATAAAATGATGGGATGAGGGGACAGTGAAATAGAACAGCCATATTTCTTTAGAAAACTAGGCTAAAAACTACGTAACAAAGGCACTACCAGCATACCTGATTATACCAAGAGGATCTAAATCTTCTTCCTCTTCTTCCTCCTCTTTTTTTTCCCCTTTTTTGGCATTTTCCACTGATGAAAGATGTGGGATTAAGTCAGGTGTCTTCTCTTCTTTGAAAAAATCCAATGCCTCATTTTCTTCATCTTCCTTCTCCTTGTCATCAGGAATGTTTTTACCCTTGAAGTCAATGGCACTAGTAGATTTTGTTCCTGCAAAATACAATAATGGATGCAAAACTGAATACACAGGATAACAACTATGTTTTATTTAATACCTTGCACCTGTTCCTGATGGTTTTGTTTGGGGAATGAAGGACACAATCAGCTTTTGTGAAACTCTTTCAACATTCCTGGCTGTCCCTTCTATCCACTGGTGTGTCATTATGTGTATGATCTGTTTACTGATTTAAAGTAGTTAAGTAGAGAAAGACAGAGGAAGTGAACTTTATCAGAGATGTAGCAGAGCATGTCTAATTTGCTTATTTATGTTCCTTCTATAGTCAATAGAAACAATAGAATTTCCACGTGGTGATTCATCCCATCCAAATAAAGTTGCCTGAGCAGGAGTTTCCCTCTGAAGTGCCTGTTTCTCTCCACTGGCTACAGAGAGGCCGTAAATACTCTGCTTAGATGTAGGTAGCTAACTTTCACATAGCTAGTTGAGATTAAGTCAACTTTTTGCTACTAATTTAATTCATTTGGGCTAAAATTAGAGCACTGGATAGCATGAAAAAGTTTCCACAGCAGCTCTTCAATTTACACTCAAAAATAAAGCCAAAAGTTCTAACTCTCTTCAGTATGCAAAATCCATCCAACTGAACAAATTCACCAAACTGAAACATGTGCTTTGACCGAGCCTTCTCACTATACCTGTTATATGCAAAGCCCAGGAGAATGAAGAGAGAACTATTCCGTACTGTGGAGTCTCTGGATGTTCAGGAAAGCAATTTAAAATAATGAGACTAGCTAAAATAGGCTAGTGAAAACCATAATGGATAGAATTCACGGTTTCATCCTTTTGTCTGTTAAAGTAACATGGCATGGGAGACTCATCTCACCCAGCTATTCACACTCTCGTCTGGTAAGTCAGCCAGGGTAGACTTAATTGACTAAATGTGGGTGTCTACACTGAGCAAGTGGTCTTATGCTCCCCTTATAGGCACGAAAGTGCTGGTCGGGATAGGCAGTGAATGTTAGGATGCTGCTTATCTTATCCCCACAGTAATCTGTGTTTTACCATGTTGATTCTCCCTAAACACCCCGAGTATATCGACTGTGTCTCCACAATCTGTAAGGAAAGTGTACACAACTAGCTTGAGGTTCTGCAGTTTATGTACTGAATTCCATCTGGTTTGGTAGGGTGAGACATATCATTCTAAGGCAGATTTCAATGAACAGGTCACATTATTTGCACCCAATCTGTCCATAATATAAAGACAGTCCAGACTAATTCAGCTGTAGACACATGCACCATGGTTAGGTTAATCTGCACACAAAGGTTAATCAACGTGAATTCTGAATTCTCTGTGCAAGGCGTCTACTTTAAAGAGGGCAATGCCAGGGAAAAAAAGAAAAAACCCCACAAACACTCCAAAACCTTCTTAGGAAAATGATTTTGCCAAATATTATGCAATTTCCCCCCCTCTTGACTTTAGGAAGCTTTCAGTCTCACAGAACTTCTAATCTGGCCACACTTTGACACTTTTGCAAAATCAGCTGTTCACACACGGTGACCTGCTAGCACCTTGCAACTTCACTTCCTTAAAACTAACGCTACACCGAGAATCCTGCACAGCACCAGGCTGGAGTATTCCCTGCTCAGCAGCTCTCAGCTGAATTAAGAGCAGAGAGCCCATCTGTTCCATTCATTCAGTGACTCCCTGCTATGCCCAAGGAGCATAAGAAAGGAACTGCATGAATCCCTGGAACAGGCAGCAAGGGCTGGATGTGAGGCTAAGGAAAATTAAAAAATAAAAAAAAAAAAAAAAGGAGGTTTAACTAATAAATAATCTGTGTTTTATTCAAATCTTTCTCAGAGTCAATAATTTGTTTTAGGACCCTCTTCAGTAAGGCCTAACTATTTTATTAGGAATGAAAATCACACAAAACGTGGAAGAGCTGATCACTAAAGGAGACCCTGCACTGTCCCTTTAGGGTTCATCTCTCCATTGACAATATATGATCATTTAGCCTTCTGAACTCACATGTTCTGAATCACAACTTAGGAATATGTCTAAGGGAGATCAGAAACAGTGGGATAGAAATCTTCAAAGCAAGCACTGTGTTATCATCACTTCATTGTGAATGAGGCATGTGTCCACTGAGAGGAGGGGAAAACACTAGCAAACATGACTATGCAGCACTGTAAATGCACAAGAGGATATTTTCAGTGACAGCCTTTATTCTGGCATTCTCTAATTTTTGACTACCTGAGTCAAGAGCTTAATAACGCTTTTATCAAGCACATTCATGGGAGAGGGAACTCTCACATCTTCTAGTTACCTAAAAATTCCAGTAACTCAGGACTCGTTGCTAGATCCTCATCTTTTGAGATGAATTTCATGATATCATTGAACACAGCTCTTCGTTCACAGATGTCAGATTCCCCCACGAAGAGAACTTTTCTAGGCAAGAGCGGAAGAGAAGCCTTTGGATATCGTGCCACCAGTCTCTGGTAGAGCTCCTCTATCTCACTGTACTTCTTGGAAACCTGCAAGGAAACAGGCTGCCTGGGTAAGTGTCTTTACATGAGCAGCAAAGCAGCAGTTTAAGCACTATGAAACATTAACCCTCAAAACTGAAGTGGAAAAACATGTATTACCAAGGAGCTTTACCTACAGCCTAGTAAAAGCCTGTTGTCTACAGACTGAATCCGCAAGCATTGTTGCTTGTCTTCTAATTCTGTTATTAAACTCTGCTCCCTCATGGAATTGAAGTTCATTGCCAGATACCCAGTGTCCATTTGTCTGACTCATCAACTAATGAAATCCTGGGAAGGTCACTGCTCCAGATACTTTTCTCTGACAGCAAAAATCCTTGTCCACTAAAAACGAGCTATACGGTGCCCAGCCCTGAGAGGTGGAAGGGAAGAGAAGCGCAGACAGGTAAGTATCTGATGGAGAAAGCAGCCTGAATCTTTTCACCATGGAGCCAGAAGACCCATTGCTCAGCCCTGGTGGGCTTCAGCGCCCTTCTGAATGTTAAGGCCTGAAAAACAGGCACATTTGCTGCCCTGCAAAGCACTTAATACAGAAACTGAAGGGCAAAGACCTCACCTGACCCCTGACTGTTCAGTTTATCCATGAGAAAATAAAAAACAACAACTTGGCCACGGCCTACAGGTTCTCATACAGGGAGAAGATGCCAACAGCGGAGTCATTCCTTCTGCACACAAAGACAGGAAGCCTGAGGAGAAATAAGGCCCACGATATTACAAGGAAAGCCATAAACATAGGAATGCTGGCTAGAAACGGTGTGGCTTCTATGCCACATTAAACTTTGAATTCAGAACGTTAAAAAATCAACACACAAAACCCACACAAACAAAAGACTATCTCTAAGTGACATTACAGGCACAATGGAGAATGACTGTCATGTTCTGCGACTGTGGTATTATACAGACAATATATTCATCATGACCCTCCATAGCCCCATAATCCATGAATATGTTTCAATGAATACAGTTAAATATTAAAAAAAAAGTCCAAAAAACTAGTGCTAGTGGAGTGTGTATGGCACAGATCCTCTACTACAGCTCCTGTAACACATGTTGGTGAAGTGGATCCTAATTAATACTGCAACATAAAAGATGAAGAGACTGAAGCAGCACATCTTGGGATGGAAGAAGGCAAAGTTCTTCCACCAACACAGTGATAAAAGGAAGTCAACCCAACAAAAAGCACAGAAGGGAAACGAGTTATAGATTAACCCAGAATCCATAAACTGTATCTATACTAGCAAACTAAACAGTATCAGGCATATTCCCAGGCACTGGAACCTGAGACTGTCTATTAGGAACCTTACAGTGTCTACTGGAACCTGACAATGTCTGGCACAGTTTTGACTCTGGGCAGCTAGCACTCCCGCAGCTAGTTTTTCAGCCCAAGATTTAGCCTGGTGCAGAGACCACGCAGTAACCAGTTTGGGTACCAATGCCCATTGCAGATGGTAAGAAAGTTCCACACTACAGATGCAGTCAGACTGTGCCAGCTGCCCTCCAGGCCAGAGAACAGGTCCTGGCATTAACAGACACACCCTTACTAGTTTAGTAAATTAGACAGAGGCATAAAGAATAATAACCACCTTAGCTTTCATACCTCCCTGCCTTTTGCAGTAACTATCAACCAAGCTAGCTGCTTTGAAAAATATTTGCATTTCAGCTGTACAATGCTCACTACAGGTTCAGTGTCCAGTCACAAAAGGCAAGCAGCTCTCTAAGAAAGATATGAAGTACAAATCAAAACCTGTGTCAACAGGGGAATGAGAAACAAGAATTTTAGACTTGGCTACTGTAAGCAATACAGGTAAGCGTGAGCAGCACTGTGTGCAGGATCTGACATGCAATTCAGTAGCCAAGCACTAAAGTGGTGGCAATAAAGAGATGTTCCCTTTGAAAGACACCCCAAAAAGAGAGAGGAAAGCAATTCTGGAATTTCTGAATAGCTGTACATTTCTAGTTTGCTAGGTCCCAGTAGTACTCTGAACAGGGTATGCTACCAGAGCCCCTCCCAAAATTACTGTGTAAGCACAAATGTAAGGGCAGTGAGGAGTTCATTGGTACTTTTTCAAAAGAATAAACAATATTATCCTCCACCCAGGAAAAAAAAATCAAGTCTGATTTGTGAAAAATGTTTAACATCTACTTAATTTCAATAATAAATAACAAATTAATGCGTGAAAGCATTACAAGACAGCAGCCAATCAACAAGACTATGCCAAACCAGCTTTAAAATACTCAAAAAGTATTTCTTTCCCCACTTAATTTTCATTCCTCCTTTATCAAACTCTGTAAATTATTCATAAATCTCAATTTATGTCTAATTACACAAGTGAATCTAAAGTAAATGCACATCCTCGCATCCTATCGCTAATTAAGCCTTTGTGAATCTGCGTGGGCTTTGAACACCGCCACCAACCATAACACGCGACACAGCATACAAAGTGTGATAACACTATATCCAAAGCATACTAATATGCTACCCAAAAGCCTGCAGCACACCGTGCGAGCTGAATTCCAGCAGTGTGGGGATGCCCTCTGCTGGGATAACCTACCACACAGGCAAGATGTTAAACCTCCAGCCTAAACCATTCTCCAATTACCTATGGCCAATGCTGGCCCCTGCAAGCCCTTACCAGTTGAGGTTCTTCGCCTGCTGTCCCTCTGCCTCAAACCCTGGCTGCTGCTGGGTCCTCTACCTCTTCGCTCAACACTACTGACATCTTTACTTTCATTTTGGTGCTGGAAATGCATCAGTAAGACTGGCTGAATCCAGAGTGAATCCACAACCTCAGACTGATGCATTGAGAATCAGAGAACCACAGACTGGTTTGGGTCAGAAGTGACCTTTAAAGATCCAACCCCCTGCCATGGGCAGGGACATCTTCAACTAGATCAGGTTGCTCAAAGCTCCATCCAGACGGACCTTGAACAATTCCAGGGATGGGGCATCCACAGCTTCCCTGGGCAACCTGTGGCAGTGTCTCACCACCCTCATAGCAAAAAATTTCTTCCTTATGTCTAATCTAAATTTACCTTCTTTCAGTTTAAAAACATCGTCCCTTGTCCCATCACCAGGACCTGCTAAAAAGTCTCTCTCCATGTTCCTTAGAAGCCCCCTTTTAAGTACTGGAAGGCTGCAATAAGGTCTCCCCAGAGCCTTCTCTTCTCCAGGCTGAACAACCCCAACTCTCTCAGCCTGTCCTCACAGGAGAGCTGTTCCATCCCTCAGATCATCATTGTGGTCTCCTCTGGACCTGCTCCAACAGGTCTATGTCTTTCTTTTACTGGAGACCCCAGAGCTGGATGCAGCAGCACAGAGACAACGCAGGGGCCTTACACAGCACCAGCCAGATCTCGCACAACGTATTTTCTCAGGTCGAATCCCACGCATCACACAGAGCATTCTCACACCTTTCCAGTCAGGAAGCACTACTTTGCCGTGACTATTTTGGACCTTTTCAATTTGACATCCTCTGACAATTTTCCAGGAGGAAGGTGTATCAGCATGTAAAAAAATTAAATCTTGCCTGGCTACCACTCAGAACCTTTTGAAAAGAGCTGATGGATCCTATGGCCCAAAATGTCAGGATAAAAAATGAATGCTGCTCCAAAAACCATTTTATCAAACCTATTAAGTAAAGAAAGTGGCATTTGATTAATATTCAAATGTTATTCTTCTGCTACCGGTAATTCCTCCGCGTCTTGATCCTGCAATTACCCTCTCCCCCTCCATGCCTCTAATTAAACTCTGTGAATACTGTTGAACTAAACCCCCACCACCTGTAAGTCAGTCTGGGTGCATGCACTTCAAGGAGTTCTGTCAAGTCACAATATCAAAGGCTCAATCTACTTCACTTCAAAAGAGTTAATCATACAAATACAGCAAAGCATGTGCGTATTTGCCAGGTCAAGACCCTATCTGCCTGTAACAATTAACATCCAAAATAGAACTGAAAGAGAGACAGGGATGGGTTGAGTATTTTTTGCACCAGGAAAAAATAAGTCGAATATGATCAAATATAGCTAGAAGCTTAAGAAGCCACTGGGAAGATCGAAGTGAAAGCCTGAAGTTTGCTGCTAATCCCTCAAATCTTGTGCATGTGCCTTGCCCGCTTCTTCAGGAGAACCTCATGCATGAAAGTACACACACCAGAATGCCTGTAGGATACGAGCCTGGGACTCTCAGATGTGTGTAGGAGAATTTGATTTTACTCAGTATTAATGGGATTTCATGCCTCCTTTCCCTAGGCTCCTTTTAATGCCCTGTTTCTGACCTCACACTTATCTTCATATGCTTTATATTTACTGCAAGGATTTCAACAAAACTGACAGCTCAGGGCTAACTCAAGCCCTTTGGTCAGTCAATGCACACTAGTGAAAAGCACTCTTGATTTTATAGTATTTCATTAAATACTTATGGCCACTGAGCCTTTCTTTTTACAAAGCCCACTTCTTAACACTGTCACGAAATGGAAGTACAGCAGCATTGTCCTCTATACAACCACCAGCTTTGGATTCATAAATCAAAAGTGTCCCTTCTCATAGATAGCACAAGTGAGGCTTTCACTTGTAGACTCCCAATTCAGGCCATACCAGATTAATGTTGCTTGGTGACCTCACGAGTATGAATTATGGTAGTTTTTAATTACATGACTGCATGCTGTTCTCCCCACCTGTTTTGCCCAGCAGAAGAGCAAGCACTCCAGTATTTCTTTTTAATCAACATGAATTCTTAACGGCTCCTGAACCTATTGCTACACTTAGCAGGGTTTTTTTTCCCCCTCTCACACCACAGAGGTTATACTGTGAAGGAATTTATCTTCACAACACACCTGTATGGCCAGGAAATAGCAACTCCAGTGCACAGATTTTGAGGCCCACAGAAAGAAGGACAACATATGCAAACAGGCAATGACAAAAACATAGATGAATACACGCCCACATACTTACACTCCCTCATTTTATGAGAGGAAGACAGTTCTATAGTAAAT